ACCTAAACTACCCCGGTCCGGTCGATAACTTCGAATGATTGTCTGCTTGGCTAGCTTAGCAACTCGTCCACGCGCGTCCTGGCAGCGTTTTTCCGGCGACAAATGCACGGTGTGGCTCCAGACGCCCTCCTCCTCCTCCGTTAGCATGAGTTGATTGGCGTGGCCTACCAGACTGCCTCGCCGCGGTGGTGCTAGCGTGTGACGTCGACGATGACGACGTCCGAGCTACCTAGGCTTGAATCTTCACCCGGAAACTGGCACGACGGCGACTTGGGTTGCTAGCTAGTTTATGCCAGCATGCATGCATATATGCACAGTCGCCTGGAAGGCTGGAAGCCTGGAACGAGTCAAGGTCAAAGGAACCCAATGCGCGCCGCATGCATGCAAGTTTTCAACGAACGTCTGCATTCAAGGAGGGTTCCGAGAGATGCTGGCTTACAGCGAATGGCCCAGCTTTTGGATGCTGTAGCAGCCGACCAGTAGTTAGGGCTAGCTTGTTTTAGATTATTTGGCACACCGTACCTAATATTGAAGGTTGAGGTGATCAATTTGACTATTACCAATAATATATATGAACGTGGCCCTGCTTTTGGATGCTGTGCTGACCATGCAATCATAAGAAGATTTTGCTGGATATTTACGGCGAGTTGCTCAGCCATGCACGTATGTACGTAAACAATACTCCAATACATGCATGTCTGTACGTACGTAACGGTCGTGTACGTGCCTAGCTGGCTAGGCTTGTATGCACGTACGGTTAGTACGCCTCTGATCGAGACACCAAGCTATGTGACACCAACTAACAGACAGAAATGTTATCTTGCGTCTTTCAAAAAGAGATGTTCTCTTTGCGACGTGTGATGTGGTCCGATCGGGGGAGTGTATGCACGGCGGGCACGTCTGCAAGCTAAAAGCAGACCGATTTCCTGGGTATCGGTCTTGACTTTTTTTGGAAGTAAATTACTACTAGGAGATTATGCCGTTTTGACTTCAATAACTAGAGAAATTCAATTCGTGCGCAGAGACTTTTCAAGTGGTTCTTTAATTGCAGTGCAGGGCATGTCTGGCTCCATGGATTACGAAAGCGACCACGTATGCATGACCATGAACCAATAGGCAGTAGGACGGACGGACCATCAAACTGGCAATGTGATGTGCATATGGGCGGCCGGCGCAAAAGTCGAACACTTCACAAATGACGTCGACATTTTAGATTTTCAAAACTTAATTTGGCTATCATATTTATCTCATTGTAATATTATAGGCACTAGCTAATACGTAGGTCGTTAGATATACTAAAGTGATATCAATCAATCAATCAATTGAATCAAAACCTAGCTAATACAGATCTATTAGATTTACAAAAGGGACATGAGTGCGTAGGTTTATCTCCAAAGCTAAATATTGCTATTGGATATAGACGAAAGTGATATGCGTAGCTGTCTCAAAACTCTATCACTTAGGTTTTTCTTTTGAAAGGTGTCATCACTTAGGTTTACTTAGTAGAGTGGTTTGGTCTGTACGCCTTAGTAGAGTTGAATCTGTTGTTGAGATTGGAAAAACGTTGTAACACCTTTTTTTTCCTTACTATCGTCTAATAAAAATTTGGCAAAAGCTTTTTGCCGCCTTTCGAAAAAAAATCACTTAGGTTCGGATATATAAGAAAGTGTCATCTGCATACTACTTTTCTTCTGTTATTATAGTGTATTATATTATCAATCCAATCGTCTCCTTTGTGAAAGTGAAAACCCTGGATCGGATGCCAATCTGCGTCCCTTCCCGTGTTTTGTTGTTTGGTATAGAGTATAGGCAAAGTAAATGGAAGAAAGAAAAGTTCAGCCACCTCATGCCCAATGCAAGCAAAGGTCCATGAGTCCATTCCAACTCCGCATTGACAAAATACTAGTCTGAAGATTTCATCAAAACAGATGAGTAACCTATAGGAAGAAGCTTTCAAAGTTTTTTTTCATCTCCTCCCTCAGAAAGAACATTTCAATCCATGCTGTATCCGGAGACATAGACTGATAGACATGCTCAGTTGTCAGCTCAAAATGTCTTGCACAGCCTGCAGGAAGCATAACAGATGGTTCATCGTCTCTGAATATATCCTGCTAAAATATCCCGTTTCCAATAAAATCACAGTAGGGCCGTAGGGGCAAGCCCCTCCTGTTTCCATCAAAAAAATCCTGTTTCCACCTCGCGGGCAGCCGGAATGGGGGTCTCTTCTAGACGTGATTGCTGCCATGACCTGACCTCCTGCAGGCTTTAATCATTTGGTGAGTCAAAGCCGTGGATCAGTTACTTCTTTAAGGATAGATCCAAGAAAATTTCGTCAGAGCTGGAGTTGTGTTTGAACCGAAAATTCATGCCGGTGGTTTTAATAAAGTATTAGAATCCAGAGAAAGCTGCCACCGGTTTCGAAGAATTTAAAACTAAACGTAACAGACATGAGCACCTCGACGAGCACATGCATGTACTGAGTGTGGACTCTCTGGACAAAACGTGCTAAACATGCATACGAGAAAAACCCTGGCCCACCGTGGAAAAATTTCACCCATGCGTGTTCCTTTGGAACAAAGAAGCCTATCCAACAAATTTCCTATATGTAACTAACATACAAGTTTGCTGTAAATTTCGAGGAATTTAGGATTTAGGATGACACTCAAACGTACAATCCTGTGAAAATAGACTGAAAGATACCTTGTGTAAGTCTCTTTCTCCAAAGCCGTGTGTTCTTTGAATGTTGGCACCACCTCCACGGCTCCACCACGCAAATCAACAATGTGTTAATCAGTCATTGTCAGGATTTGGCGAGGGGTGCAAGAATAGTCTAAACTAGAAACTAGAATTATTTCTATGACTGTTAATTAGGGTGTCATCTAACAAAATGGTGGTCATATTGGAACTAAATAATAGAGAGATGAAAATTCTTTGCTATACAAGATACGAGAAACTATATCTACATAAGAATTAAGATAGGAAGAGATGATGGACTTAGCGTAGCTCAGCTCGCTAGGTTCTTTATAGTAGAACTTATCTATCCGGATTCAAGTAATCGACTTGATTCAGTAGCGAGGACTTCTTGGGAGAAAAGATCGAGTAAGAATATATTAGTTTATTGTGTGATTCACTGAAAAGATAGGAAGAGATGAATATATAAATAGATCACAGTTTTTTTTTACAGGTCTCCATTGGACCTCATCGCCATATCCTCCCTTTAGGTAATCATCTTCACTTGACTTGACATGTTTAGCGGGAGAGATTTTGATAATTGACATTTAATTCGCAAACTTTTTAAGATTTAACACTTGTATCATAATGACATGTGGAGTCAACCTGCGCTGGAATTTCTCGGTGGAGAAGATCAAGTAAGAGTAGATTAGTTAAGTGTTTGACCAGGTGCAGAACCATCCGTTGGGCCACCACGTCAGAGCATGCGAGTTACCAAACCTACCTAACCCAAAAGTTTAGTCTACTTTTTTTAGGATTAGGAAAACGAAGAAGTATAGATGATGAATGGTTATGTTGAGCGGCCGGCCCACTGGTGACCAGCAGGTGCTTCATCGGCCAGGCCAACAGCATTTGTGGCCGCCTTCAGAGACGGGACAAGGAACCCCGAACAGAAATCCCCGTAGCAGGAGGGATGCAGCACGCCACCACCAGCTCTAGGCGATGGATGCATGCTAGCGTGGACATCCTTGATGGAGACGCATCCCTCCGTGCAACCATCCGCAGGTAGAGGATCATCGTGAACATTCACGAGCACAGAGCTAGCATGGGGTACACCTCCATGTCGGAGTCCTTGGCCATCCTCAAAGCTCATACTATTACACAAATGACTCTTACTTCGAAAGGGGTTCATTAAAAACCATTTCTAAACATGATTTCTGAGATTATCGGTATCCTGAAATCAATTTATATAGGCGATCAATGTTTCTAGCCGCTCCTAAAAAATCATCTATTTTCAAGGGTGGTTAGTGCCACATCTCTAGAAATATTTCTAGAAGCGGTTAGTGTTACGAATCGTTTGTATAAAAAGCATTTGTAAAGAAAGTTAGTGTTAGTGCAACAAAAAACATAACTTTTCAAAATGTAGTTGGATGAAGGTGAACATTATATCAAGGTTGTAGAGCTTGAAGAGAGATGCAACTTTATAGTTGATAGACATTTTTATTTAAAATCATTTAGGGTACAAAAAATATGTTTTAAGTTCTTAGATGTGGTGGCCTCCCTAGTAGGGTTTTTACGGCCTTTTTTGAAAAATTATTTTTTACAAGTAGGCCATGTTATTACCAACCATCTTTATAAATTGCTTTCTAGAAGCATTAACTGCCTCTGTATAAATTGATTTATAGAAATGGTTGTATAGTCACTTGACTAGAGATGATCGGAAAACCCACCTCTATAGACCAATTTTGACTACCACTAACATGGTGTTGGCGTAAATAAAAATGAATAAACGGTCAATGAGCTGGTGCATGACAGTTCCGATGAGGACCCATGAACCTGCCAGGCTGCCATCAACAGCTTGCAGCTCTGTTATCTCGGTGACAAATGCTTCCATTTTCTCAGGTTCCAATGCGTTTTGAAATCGAATTTCATATTATCATTGGACATGAGTCATACTCGTATGAACACGGGTCATCGTCCGGGTCACATACAGGACGTAAAGGATGCATGGTATTTTGGAAAGTAAAAAAGGACAGTTGAACTTGTTGTTTAATATTAGGTATAGGTATATAGATATAAAAAAAATGTTACGATTAGCTACACACAACAATCAATAAACAAACAAGAAAGAAGAAAAACAATAGAAGTATACAAATTGATCTAGCCATAAAACAATATCAGTGAAGTTTGATTTGCCCGAGTTTGGGGTTGCAGTCTGCTTTCAAAGGCCCAACGAGAATTGGCCCAGGCCTGGGCGCCTGGCTAGTAATGAAATCTCCCCTTAAAAAAAAAGCTACTAATGAAATCGGTACCATATCAACCTTTGGTCATCAACACCTAGGCATCCCCGGAGGCCGTGGCAACATCTTAGCTTCCGGTGCATTCCCATCCTTCACGATGAAAACGGTGTCCATCCCCCACGCCATGTGCCGTTCAATGTGACAGTGCATGAACCACACACCTAGACAACCATACCAAAAACCACGATAGCCATGATCATGAGGAACCGATAACTGAAACTTGCAACACGTACGCACCAGGGTTTTCGGCACGGAAACGGATCGCAGACCACCCGAAACTGGGCACAGCGACCGTGTTCTGGTACGGCGGGTCGACCAAGTTGTAGCCGGCGGGGTCCCTGTGCCTGTCGAAGTTGCCGGAACCCGTTCCCACCACGTAGAAGCTGAACCCGTGCAGGTGCATCGGGTGGCTATCGCTGCCGAGGATCGCCGTGTTCTGCAGCACCACCTCCACCGTGGTGCCGTACTCCAGCACCTTCACCTTCGTGCCGCGCTTCGTGAGCCAGAGCTCCGGAGGGACGTCGCCCGTGAAGTTGAACAGCAGCGGCGGGTTGCTGGGGAAGTCGGTCGTGTGCACGCCACGGACCTTGTGGTAGTACGCGTCGAGGATGTTCGCGTGCCGCGGCGCCTCGAAGCTGACGTTGTTCAGGCTCGCGCCCATGCGGTTGCCACGGGGTCCCTGGCAGTGCTCGTCGGGCGAGCACGCGATCACGTTCACCGCGAGGGTGACGAGCATGTGCTCCTGGACGTGGCGAGGCACGTTCACCGGGTGCTCCTCGCTGGCGAGCGACCGTAGGCGCGACGTGTACGCGTCCGCCGCCGCGCTGTCGTTGATGGCCGGCAGGACGGGGAACTCCGGGTCCGGTGCCGCCCCACCGGAGGGTAGTGCCGCCGCGTCGTCGGCGTACTCCAGCACGGCAGTGGAGGTGCTGTTGTTGAAGATGACGAACGGGTTGTTCGGCAACAGCGGCCGCGCGGCCATGTAGTACCGGGCGTTCCGCAGCCCACGCGAGGCGCGGTCGGCCGTGAGCAGAGCGGTCACCGTCTGCCCCGGCGCGATGAAGATGTAGTCCACGGAGAACGGCTTCACATAGGAGCCGTCGGTGCCGACCACGGTGAGGCTGTGCCCAGCGACGCTGAAGGACTCGTAGGTGAACACCGCGTTGATGAGGCGGAGCATGTACGTCTTGCCGTCCTCGACGGGAAGCTTGAACGTGCCGTTAAGAGCGTTCAGTGTGGTAGTGCCGTTGTGACTAGTGAAGCACGTCTGCAGCAAACGCATAATTCGTACTAAGTACTCCTCCATCTCAGTTAGAAAGTCATTCACGAATCTTGGCAAAAGCGCATAATAATATTTATGATACCAACTAAGTCTTTGTTAATTATATTTTTATAGTATACCTATTTGATGTCATAAATCTTTGTAATTTTTTTATAATTTTGGAAGCGATTTGATGGAGAAAGGCGCCCGATAAATGTATTTATAATGGAGACACTGACAGGGGCGCCCGATAAATAAAAATAAAAATGAATAAACGGTCAATGAGCTGGTGCATGACAGTTCCGATGAGGACCCACGAACCTGCCAGGCTGCCATCAACAGCTTTCAGCTCTGTTATCTCGGTGACAAATGCTTCCATTTACAAGCGTGCATCCCAGTCACAGTACGCACACGCCAGCTGTTTAGGAGGACACGCACCCGGGCTGTTCGGTAGCTTGTTTTCACAGCTGTTGGACAAGCTTCGGCGGCTGCCGTACCTAAAGTTTGTACAATATACTTAATATATGTATTATGTACTAGTAAATAGATATGGAATACATACGTCAATACGTCATACAAGTCGATGTGTTGGTTCTTATAAACTCCGTCGCATCTAAAAATTATTCCTGCCTCCACCACTCTGTTGGGGGCTACTGCTGTAGCTGCCTCCTCTCACAGAACACTGTTCTGACAGCCAGCGGCAGCCATATGCAACTCATAACTTGCATAGAACATGTCAGGACCGGAAGATCATCCAAACCTGGAAGATATGCGTGAATGCATATGAGAATGTCATAATCCGTCATATTCAGGACTAATTCTATAGTGTGCTGCATCGGCAGCACGTACAGTGACAAAAAGACCAAGTCAGGCTATCGGATACTGGGTTTGTGCATATGTTTCTGTCTTTAATTAACTCTGGCATCTTGTCAGTTGTGTTAGATAAATAGACATTTTCATAGTCAATTTAATCCAGAAATAAAACATCAGCAAATTTGTGACGACATATATGTGCATGTGTAAATCATTAACAAACGACTACAACATGCAAGTATGACATATAGATTGATATAGATAAATAGGCATTTTCATGGTCAATTTAATCCAGAAATAAAATATCAGCAGGTTTGTGAAGACATATATGTGCATGTGTAAATCATTAACAAACACTACAGCATGCAAGTATGACATACAGATTGATACAATAAAAACGCAAAGTGTTGTAATTACAGAAATAAGAGTGTACCCAGCGGAGGTCCTATGCCGAGGGCATCGGAGGCTCCATTCGCACTAGTCAACATAGTGTGTTGCTCGAAGTTGTGGACCACAGTCGATGCAGGAAGATGTTCGCAGTGTAGTCCCACGAACGGTCACAAGGAAGAGACGGGTTCCGCGATTGATCACCAGAAAGAAGACATGTTCCGCGAGCGATCACCAGGAAGAAGACGTCGGATGAGCGGTCGCGAATCGCTCCCCAAAAACCTAATCGCCACATACTCCGTGCAAGGTTCGCAGACGAACGAGGGTTCCGGAGGCACTGCTCTCCCGCTACTCCGTGCGCGCAGAGGTACGGGACGGGGAAACCCAAATGGCGGCTGAGATGTGGTCTGACGGAGGACTGCAGATTTATGGCTGCGACGGGGAGGAAGAAAGACAGCGGAGGAACCCAGGAGACGAAAACTTGCGCAATCAGTTCGCCTCCACCATAAAGGGGAGAAACTCCCGTGATTATGTGGATTAAGTGGCAAAACTTGACAACGCCCGCTCGCCCGCTCGCTCGCCGCCTCGCCACGGCCCACACCCACACCACGCCCCCGCCTGACGGCGGCGGCGCGCGCGTGTGCACTCATTTGATCCTTTTCTCAGCTTCTCAATTAAGATAGATAATTTTCAACCAAATAAGCTGAGTAAACGTTCAGTCAAAATCTCATACGATATTAAACCATACAACGCTTAATATTACGTATCATAGAGTTTTATTTAATTTATTAAATATTATATGGACCAAACCCATAATATATCCAACAAGTTGTATATTTAGAATCCTAAGTCCGGACTGTACTGTGAGTATCATGTTCAGGTAATATTTGGAGCCGGGTTTTGGCACGACCAACTTAAAGCTCCTCACCACACTGTGGTTCAGATTCAGATTTCGCGATCCATGTGAATGTGATCACGGTAAGGCGCCGTTCGGTTAGGCGTCCCAGGCCCAGGCCGTTTCAGGTCAGGAACATTTCCAAGCCAGTACAAATTATCAAACAGTTACAGGCTAGGAACAGTTCAGGTCGTGCCAGGCTGCGAACGAACGAAACTGAAGTTGCATTCGAACTTCTTGACTCATGGTTAGAATAAATGCGTCAGGATGAAACCATCGAGTTTTCCTGTGTTGGATTTAGATTAGAACCGTGTGAACAACGAGAGTGAGATGCAGACAGGTAGAGTGAGATAGTGAGATAGATTTTTTTTTTTTGATAAGGACTGACATATTAAACATTAATAAAGCAGAGTACAAAGATTTGGGAACATTGGTCCCAAAGAACAGATCTGTAGCAACCTAGCTACGACAGGAGAGTCAACCGGCCCGTTAGGTGGACGGTTTCTGGCCGATAAGCACGATTGGTGCTGGTTTATTATAAAAGAAAAATATTATTGGTTGGCGGATAATAAGCTCTGACTGAAACCAACGAACGAGCAGGCTAAAAATAGTGAAATAGACTGACAGATTAAAAAACGGAGGAGTGATTTTTTTATTTTTAATTTAATAAATATATACATCCGGTGTGTATATGTGCACTCTTTTTTTTTATGGATTAGAAGAAAGTGTAATTTATAGAATAGCTCACGAAATTAGCTCGACTATCAAAGCGTTTTATGTGCAAATTGTGCGATGGAGAGCAAATGCCCCCCAACTCGTATCTGATTGTAATCCTAACCTTTATTATTAATGAGTCGCAAAAAAAAAACTTTATTATTAATGAAAGCACCCTCCTCTCGCTGGGAACCCTCCCACGTACAAATGGAATTACAACGTTTTGTTTCTTCTGCTTGAGCATTATGTTTAAGTACAGTATATACAAATTCACCTTTCCTATTCGTATTTAGTTAGACCAACTTCAGCAGGCTAATTAAACCCATTACTTATCCTACATTTGATAGTGGAGGCAAAAAAAAAATGCACTCCAGGCTACCTATCAGACTACTTAAATTTGTTGGCCTAATAATTTTCCTCTCCACTACCTACTTTCTGTTGGCACAAAAAATCAGGCTTCCTCAGCACGGGCGTAGCCAGGTCGACGCTGGAGGTGGCGGACGTTCCTCGGCCACCTCTGCTCTGGTGTTCCCCCAGTGAACCTTGCTCCGGCCACCTCTCCTCCAGCGAGAAGAACACTGAAGAGGATGATATGTGGGACCCACATGCCATTCTCTACTAGGACTAATTTGGGTAGCTTGTTTTAGATAGTACTGATGGAGTTAGAGCAAAATATAGGTAGTATGAAAATGGGTGGTTATCCAAACAGACAAATAGATAGTCAACACTACTGGAGATGCTCTAAGGACTCATGCCTGATTTGTTTGAAAATATATATATATATATAAAAATAAATAAAGATTATACACCTTGAAACCTAGATTATCACGATAACACCCAAGCTAAGGTTTATTAGGTCGAGCATGTAATCTGGCATTGAATTCGATTAGGATGTCATGGATAATTCCGCTCCCAAATATTAAGAGCAACTCCAAAAAACTCTCTACATCCTTCCTAATTATTAAGAATAGAGATTTTTTGTGAAAAAATACTCTCCAATAGCTTCTCTAATTGATTATCCAAATATAGTCAATCTTCTATTCCGTAATTCTTGCTAGCCAAAGAGAGACAACGAGAATGGTTCTCTAAAGTGCGCACAAGATAGAAAAAAGATGTTATTATATAGAAACGATATTTTATGCAAATGATTCTCTAAATGATAATTTAGAACCCACACAGCCAAATTCTTACAAAGTTTTCAGCTCATTTGTTGATTACAATCGAACGGATAAGAGAACACGAAATTGTAGGGAAAATAAAAAACAAATTATATTATTGTTTGTCCATTCATTCTTGGCGAAAATATCCATGAAAGAATATGATTAGGGAATACTCATTGATTAACGTGTATGATCAGCGTTTACATATATAGGCATTGTGTGAGGCCAGGCAGGCCCACATGCCATATTACATTCCAACACTCCCCCGCAGTCTGAACTGGGAGCACCACGAACATTGAGACTGGACCTAAACTCCATGAACACGGACGTCGGCAAACCTTTGGTGAAGATGTCGGCGATTGAGACGGCGGGAACGCAGCAGACGCGGACTTCACCGAGGGCGACTCGTTCTCTAACGGCGTGCGGTCGATCTCAATATGCTTGGTTCACCGATGCTTTGAACGGGTTGGTGGAGAGAGGTAAACGGCTCGACATTATCGCGATGACCACCACCGATAACGCACGGAGTGGGCAAAGAAAGCTCTATTAGAAGTTGGCGCAACCAGCGAGGGCTTCACGACTCCATTCACGATCGCCGATATTCCGCCTCTCTGACTTTGGACCGAGACACATCAGAGGGTCGACGCTTGGACAACCAGGAGATGAGATTGTCCCGAGAAACACCGCATAACCCGAGGTGGATTTGCGTGTGTCAGGATAGCCCGCCCAATCTGCATCGGTGTAGACAGTGAGATCAGCTGGAGAGGTCTGGTGGAGGTGTAGACCGAGCTCCAATGTACCTTGAAGGTACCGGAGAATGCGCTTCAGAGCACTCAAATGAGGTTCCCGGGGGTCATGCATGTACAGGCAGACTTGCTGAACAGCATACACAATGTCTGGTCTGGTAAAGGTAAGGTACTAAAGAGCCCGCAAGCAAGATCATGACATGACTTGGATCGGTGATGAAACACCATCAGTATAAAGCTTGGAATTAGTGGCCATAGGAGTGCTGCTTGGCTTGCAGAGACTCATACCGTAGCGTCCGAATGTCCAAAGATGTACTCGCCTCTCGAGAG